ACCAGCCCGCGCGCCTCACACTGGGCCGCTGGGAATGCACCCCGCTCGCCTCCCGCGGCTGGAGGCATCGGCGCGCACATTGGGACCACTTCTCCATTGAGCGCGCGCACCCCCAGGCGCCAGCTCTGCGGAATCTCTCGTCCAAGGACAGCTTCGCAGACTTGGGTCTGGAGACTCGAGTGCTTCGCGCACTACAGGAGGCTGCACCCGAAGTCGTTCGGCCAACAACTGTGCAGTCGAGCACCATCCCCCCACTACTTCGCGGCCGCCACATCCTTTGCGCCGCGGAAACTGGCAGCGGCAAAACTCTTGGCTACCTCCTACCGCTTTTTCAGCGGCTTGTGGACCTGCCAAACCTGGGTACCCGCCCTATTCCTGCTCCCCGGGGCCTAGTCCTTGTGCCTTCCAGAGAATTAGCCGAACAGGTTCGGGCTGTGGCGCAACACTTGGGCAGCTCCCTCGGACTGCAGGTGCGGGAGCTAGGGGGAGGCCATGGCATGAGTAAGGTCAGGCTGCAGCTGTCCAAACAACCTCCATCAGATGTGCTAGTGGCCACTCCAGGAGCTCTGTGGAAGGCCCTCAAAAGTCAACTTATCAGCCTGGAACAGCTCTCCTTCTTGGTGTTGGATGAGGCAGACACACTGCTGGATGAAAGCTTCCTAGAACTGGTGGACTACATCTTGGGGAAGTGTCATATAGCCGAAGCCCCAGCTGACTTAGAAGATTCCTTCAATCCCAAAGCTCAGTTAGTGCTGGTTGGAGCAACATTTCCCGAAGGTGTTAACCAGTTGCTGAGTAAAGTCGCCAGCCCGAACTCCCTCACCACCATCACCAGCTCCAGACTCCATTGCATCATGCCTCATGTTAAACAGACATTTATGAGACTAAAGGGAGCCGATAAAGTGGCAGAGTTGGTGCAGATCCTCAAGCATCATGACAAAGCAGATAAGAACAGACCCTCGGGAACTGTCCTGGTGTTCTGTAATAGCTCCAGCACTGTGAACTGGCTGGGATATATTCTGGATGACCACAAAATCCAACACCTAAGACTGCAGGGGCAAATGCCAGCCTCAGTGAGGGCAGGAATCTTCCAAAGCTTCCAGAAGGGCTCCCGAGACATACTTCTTTGCACAGACATAGCCTCTCGGGGCTTAGACAGCACCCATGTGGAGTTGGTTATCAATTACGACTTCCCCCTCACCCTGCAAGATTACATCCACAGAGCTGGGAGAGTGGGCCGTGTGGGGAGTGAGGTACCAGGGACTGTCATCAGCTTTGTGACCCATCCTTGGGATGTGAATCTGGTTCAGAAGATTGAGCTGGCAGCTCGACGAAGGAGAAGCCTTCCAGGGCTAGTGTCCTCAGTGAGAGAGCCTTTGTCTCAGCAAACCTGATCTTACCTAGCTTAAATGTGATCCCAAGACAGGGATTGTTCCCAGGGTCCTGGTGGGTGAGCACACTTGTGAGTAGGAGGTACTGAGCTTCCCTGTCACTTCACTACAGCTTGCCTCTGTAGCCTTTCAGATGACATAAAAATAAAATGGATTTTAACTTTGTATTATGTCATGATTTCTAACAGTAGATGATATTTTTATGGGTCTTTTCTAATAATAATTACCACTGGAGGAAGTGGAGTCATATGATTCATACCTCAAACCACACACCCTATAGCAAACCCCCCTCCCCCAAAAAAATTATTTAATTTTATTTATCGTTATTATTATTTTTTTAATTTGCTACATAGCACATGCTCACAAGAGTCAGTCAGAGAGAAAGCAGGCCACCAGGTCTAGGACTTGAACTGTGATTGCCCATATGGGAGTCCAGCACCTTGGTCACTATGCCACCTACTTGTACCCCCAAATTGATGTTTAATTTTTTTTTTTTAGTTTAATTTTTTTTTTTTTTTTTGCTTTAGGGGGCTCGCCAGAAAAACAGAGACCAAGAAGTGAGAAATCACTCCTAAGGGGGTATGGCAATGCCGCAATCCCTTCTCCATTCTCCTCTTGGGATCTTGGGCACTCACACACGCACCCGGTGTGAGTTTAAGCCACCGGGTTCAGGACTCAAACCTTGGTCGACTATGTGAGAGTCCAGCGACATAGCCATTATGCCAACTGCTGGTCCCTTTTTAAAAAATATTTGTTTGGGACCAGGAGATGGCATAATGGTTACATCACTAGACTCTCAGTGGCTTGAAACTCATGTCAGGCATATGTGTGTGCATGCCTAAGATCCAGACAGGAGAATGTAGGAAAAGGGATTGCAGTGTGACCATCCCCTGGGGGTTAATTTCTTGCTTTTTGTCTCTAGCAAACACATGCACCCTATAACAAAAATTATTTAATTTTAGTTATTATTGTGATTATTTAAATTTGACTAGAGAGGGAAAGTGAGAAAGCAAGCCACCAGGTCCAGGACCCAAACCATGATTGACCATGTGGGAATCCAGCGCCTTAACCACCATGCCACTGCTGACCCAGATGTTTTAATTTGTAAACAGAGATTTTATTTTCCCACCACTACCAAAAGATAATTTACTAAAATTCCACACAGCGACCAGCAGGTGGCAGTGGTTGAGGCATTGTACTCCCACATAGCCAACCATGGCTTGAGTCCCGAGCCTGGCAGCTTACTTTCTCATTTTCTCATCATTCTGTCTCTGGTGAGTGCACATGCCCTATAGCACAGAAAAAAATTTTAAAAGAATTATTTTATTTGAGACCAGCAGTTGGCATAATGGCTGTTAACCACACCTGCCAGCCCCACCTATAGCAAAAAATTTTAAATAGTAATACTAATAAATTAAATAATTTTTTTTAATTCCACAGAAAGAAAGAGGATGTAACTAGCAGCAGAGAAAGGTTTTTCCTCACCAGCATGTTTGAGGCAAGCTTGGACACACACACTAGGTGAAATCTCTGGCAAGTCCTGGTAGGGAAGTAAAAGACTGACACAGAAATATTGCTTGTACATTTGTCTAGTCCCTGCCTTATTTCCTACCTTTGCAGTGGAGGAAGGGGAGATGATTAAACTGTTTTACAAAAATGGCAAAATAAAACCTATAGCATCCTCTTACTTTATTCTGAGTTCCTGTGTTTATGTCATTATGTAAGAGTTGTCTGAATTAAAAAGGAATTGACAGTCAAACATAATATTCCACAAAACAGCTTAAAAATACTTACTGGAATGGATAAGGTTATACAGGACAGAAATGGGCCCAGGGCACCTTTGTTGAAAGAGTACATACTGGGCCAGCAGGTGGCATGGTGGTTAAGGGCGTTGGACTCCCACATGGCATACCACAGTTCTAGTCCCAGACCTGGCAGCTTGCTTTCTCACTTTAGCTTAGCTTGCTTTCTCACTTTTCCTCTTCCTCTCTCTCTTGCTCTGTCCCTCTCTGGTCAAATTAAAATAAAATAAATGAGTAAATAAATAAATGAAATAATTCTTGAAAAAAAACAAGCAGAACAATTATTTTTTAAAAAAAAGGGCATATACTGAATGTACAAATTCAGCTCTCCTCTATGAAGAAGTAGGTTAATGTGAAGAGTAGATAAATGAATCTACTCAAGATCACACAAGTAAGAACAGGATCAGCCCTTGTGTCCCAAAGGTGGTGTTTTTAACCACTGTGCTAGCGCTTCTCAAATGTTATTTGTGCATAGAGTATTAACACATTGATTTCCTGGGCTATTCTTTGTTCATATCTGTTGACTGGGCAGTTTTTAATATTTTCCATTTTGATTTAAAAATGTCCTAATTAGACAATTTGGCCACTTTATTTATGGGTCACTGTGGTAGAACTACCTAAGAAACTTGCAGATTCTTGGGACCAGCAGTTAGCGTAATGGCTTTGTCACTGGACTCCCACATAGTTGACCGTGGTTCAAGTCCCAGAGCTGGCGGCTTAAACTCACGCCGGGTGTGTGTGTGTGCGTGCCCAGGATCCCGAGAGGAGAATGGAGGAGAAGAGATTGCGGTGTGGCCATCCCCCCTGGGGGGTGATTTCTTGCTTTCTATCTCTCTGTCTCTGTCTGTCTGGCAAGCGCACGCACCCTATAGCAAAAATCTCTCAAAAAAAAAAAAAAAAGAAAGAAACTTGCAGATTCTTGGCCAGCCAGTGGTGTGGTAGTAAAGGCAGCTAGATCCCACATGGCCAACTGTGCAGTTTGGGTCCTGGACCCAGCCACTTGAAAAACACACCAGGTATATGTGCATGTGTGCCCAAAATCCTAAGAGAAGAAATGGAAGAGAAGGGATTATTATGTGGCCATCTCCCCACTGTAAGGGGATGCTTTCTCACCTTCTGGCTCTCTTTCTCTGTTTTTGTCTCATTCCAGTGAGTGCATGTGCCCTATAGCAAATTTTTAATGCAGATTCCTGGGACCCCTCAAGACTGGATTAAGTTATCTAAGGATCGGCCAAAGAATTCTATTTGTGTAAACTCCCTCAGTTGAGTCTCAGGACCTCCAAAGTTAATAAACCACTTGTCTATGTTGTACTGCCTTCCTCCTAGTTAGGTCCAGTGAGTTACCAGGACCTCCACCAGATCATAACAATGCTCCTAGGTAAGTGCTCTCCCTATAGCCTTAGAGAATCAGTGGTTTCCTACTGAGTCAAACCACATCCAGAAACTTCCTCTTCACATTTTACCTCCTACCAATCCTTCCCAGCAGTCTTCTCTAATTATGCCTGACTCTTCTGTCTGTCCTAAATAGCACCACACTAATTCAAACAACTTAGAAAAAGTCCTGGGGTCAGCAAGTGGGATGGTGGGTTAAGGCACTGGATACCATGTTGCCATCCACAGTTTGAGACCTGGACTTGGTTACTTCCTTTTTCTCAACAAGGGTTGCCTAACCTCCAGTAGTAATTCAGACGGTCTCTGTCTCTGCTTCCTAGGGGCATCTACTCAGCAACAGCAGTGGTAAACAAACATTCCAACCTTGCTTATTCACAGCCAGTAGCAGGGAGCCCCTTCCTAAAGTTTCTCTATTGGTAGGAGGTTCTTGGTCACACTAAATCAAAGGCTGCTGCAGTATGGTCTCCATGGGCCTGTTCAGGCTAAGGCTGAGTTGTCTTTCTCCTCTGAGTGGGACCAAACTGTTCTATAGCTCCTTTGCACAGTGCTGACCTTGCTTTTCTGGGGCTACTGCTGAA